CCCGCCCTTGAGCAGATCTCCTAATAATCAAGGGTGCTGAATCCCCACATGAATTTTTGTCCTTGAGTTAATCTCCTAGAACTTCCCCTGAAGGAAGGGTTGTACATCTGTTTTATTGTTATGATAATGTTCAACCACATCTATGTGTACTGCCACCCTTCACGATTTCTACATAACTAACAACTAACACTGTGAGAAGGGAGAATAAACCGTCATCGATTCCCAACCAGCCTGTGGCTCCATTCCTTCGTTCCTCATTCCTTCATTTGTCTGTCTCCTCAGCCAGCCTGGGGAGGCAGTTCTTGGCCACTGAACGCACCCATGCTTGAACCCACAGATGGGTGTATGGATAAAGGATGGATGGAGAGATAATAGGCCAGCAGATGGACAAACATTATCGACACAGCTTGATCCCAATATTTCTCGTGTGATTTGCTAACAAGAGTTTTACTCGCCATGAGTTTACTCTAGGTCCAACTACTCTGGATTCTTAAAAGAAACGTCAGTTCCAGCCTTCAGGGGTGCCCTATCAAACCCCAAATCCTGGGGCTCCAGGATCAAGCCATTTCCATGGGTCAGCACCCCAAAAGGAGACTTCTGGAACAAAAGGAGCAATTGTGCTACCCAAAAGGCCTTTATCTGACAATGCAGGTCTGTTAAAAAAAAAAATCCCAGGTGCCACCCATTTCTCCCATACCACCTGCAGACTCTGCCAGCCTCTGTCCATACACTCAACATCCACGGAAGACGAGGAAGATGAGGATGACGTGGCCTGGAAAAACATACAAAGCACTAATTGCTCCACACTTGTTTTCAGTATTTTCTTCAGTACTTGTTTTCAGGGACACCGGTGGAATTTTCACTGCCAGCTGCTTTCCAGTCCCAAACGGCAGGGGCCCCTCTGTTCCCCAAGAGGAACTTAGCAAAGATCCCAGCCCTCTATCTCTCTGTGAGGGCTCACCCTCAGTACAGTCTCTATTCCTGGAGCTCCGCCATTTACTTTTGTTTGATTTGGGGGCCACACCAGATGATGATCAGTGCTGAACACTATAAACTCTGCTCTTCAGAGATTGCTCCTGGCAGTGCTTGGGGGACCATATGAAGTTCCAGCGATGCATGCAAGTACCCTACCTACTGTGTTATCTCTCCTGTCACTGTCCTCCCGTTGTTCATCGATTTGCTCGAGTGGGCCCAGTAACGTCTCCATTGGAGACTCCATTGGAGACTTTGTTGTTACTGTGTTTGGCATATCGAATACATCACGGGTAGCTTGCCAGACTCTGCCGTTCGGGCGAGATGCTCTCGGTAGCTTGCCGGGCTCTCCGAGAGGGGCGGAGGAATCGAACTCGGGTCGGCCATGTTGGCTGCGTGCAAGGCAAACGCCCTACCGCTGTGCTATCGCTCCAGCCCAGTCCCTAAAATTCTTGTCTTCTTGTTGTTGTTGAGCCAAATATTTTATTTTTAAATTGCCATCCACATAGGTAGACTTTTTAATTTTTTCACAATAGTACAATACTATCTCATTCTTATTTTGGACAACCTGGCAGGCTACTGAATGTAACCTGCCCACACGGCAGAGTCTGGCAAACCCCCCGTTGTGTACCCAATATGCCAAATACCAGTAACAATGATGGGTCTCGTTCTCCTAATCCTGAAAGAGCCTTGAATATGGCACCTTTGAAAATGTCAGGGTTAGAGCGAAGAAGACGTCACTGGTGCCTGCTCGAGGCAATCAACGAACAACAGGATGATCGTGATCATGATCATGAGTACAACACTACTGTGTTATATTTACAGTGCTGCTCCCTCATTCCACCCTCAGGGCACCAGGATGCCACCCCCATTAGCCCCTGGTCCCTCCCCAGTCCCCTCCACTATAGTCCTGCTGACTGTCTCCATTGGGGACTGAATTTTTGTTTTATTTCTTTGCAGGGCACCACTCAGTTCTGAGAAGAGATGAAATCGTGGCTGCACCCTAGATGAAACTAGAAGAGGTTTCATCCTCACTTGAAAGAAACAGAAGGACAAAGACAAACACCAGCCATTCTTTGGTTCTTAATGGAGGTGTTAAGTAGATTTCCCAGGTCCCCAGGGGCAGGCAGTGTGGTGCTCACCTTCTCTTCAGGTGTGGAGGCTGCCTCTGTGGTTTCCAGGTAGAGGGGAAATGAGGCTTATACCCGAAACCCAACCATGAGTTGCTTTGTCATTTCACAGTGATTCAATTTTTAAAAAATTAAAAAGATGGGGCTGGAGCAATAGCACAGCCGGTAGGGCATTTGCCTTGCACATGGCCGACACGGGTTCTATTCTCAGTATCCCATACTGTCCCCCGAGCACCGTCAGGAGAAATTCCTGAGTGCAGAGCCAGGAGAAAGGCCTGAGCATCGCTGGATGTGACCCCAAAAAGCAAAAATAAATAAATAAATAAAAAGGAATTGTGAAACGCAGCCCTGTTTGGGGGGCTATGACATGGCAGTGCCGGGCTTCCCTAGGTGAGAGGGGGCCCGGGTACCCTGGCAAGCCCTGGGCATATGCCCTAACGGTTCCACCAAGAGCCTCCAGCCTCCCTTCAAACCCATGTCTTCCCTTCCCACATCTGAGGGTTCCAACTGCAACCCTCTAAGGAAGCTTGAACCAATAACTCATTCAGGGGCTCCCGAGACGACGCTTCCGATCTGGGTCACACACATTATCAACACCTCCGTTAGCCAGAAAGCCAGCTCGAGGAGGAGGGTGGGGGTCTGGAAAGGCAAAGACCTCCTTCGCCACGGAGAATTTTTTTTCTTTGACTATTTATTTTTATTTTTATTAGTGAAACACCATGAGGTATAGTTGTAGACTTAAAAATTTTTGTGCTTGGGTTTCAATTATACAGTGATCAAATACCCATTCCTCCAGCAGTGCCCATTTTCCACCACCACGGATCCCAGTATCCCTCTCACCCCCATCCCACCCTGCCTCTGCTCGCCACGGAGAATTTACGTAAGTGAAAAAGAGCTGGGGACGTGGGAGAAGCCAACGGGCCTTTCCGACCCTGGGCAGGCCAGGTGGCACTCACCTGTGGTGTCTGGAGAAGGAACGCCGTGTGGGCAGAAGACCTGCCCCTCGCAACCTCACTTAGACTCTGCGGCCACCCTGCGCCCTCACCCCGGCCCTCCCCGGGCTGGGTCTCCTGCACAGAAGAGGCCTTTGCTGGCTCCTGTCCTGTCCAGCTCCAGCGCTTCTGGGCCCAGTCATCAGGAAGGCCCCAGGGAAACAGGCCTTCAGGCTGCGTTCTCACCAGCTGCCTTCTGGAGGGCAGTGAACGCCCAAGAAGGGTACGTCCTCCACCCCCCAAAGGGCCCCATTACCCCAGCTCGCTCCCAAGCCCCACAGGCAATCTCCAAACGCGGTCATTTTCCACCCAAGAGAAAAATAAATCATGGAGCTGGGGGAGGGGGCCGGGTGGGGTCCTCATTCCGCTGGGAGTTCGTCGAATGCCTCCTGCACCGCCCGGGCACAGATAAGAGAGGAGTGTGTACGTTCCCGACACAAATGGTGGAAAGTAGTAAAATAAACATCAGAGGTGAGCTCCCAGTGCTCGGGGCTGCGGGGACTGAGCGCAACAAAGGCAGGAAAAGCAGCCTGGAAGGGCACCGGGTTGGAAGCACACCCTTCCCGGAGGACGAGGTGGCCCCTCTCTGGACGCGGGACGCCAGCGAGGCGTCAGACCCAACCAACGGACCCGGGTGGAGAAAGATGCCCCCGCGCCCGGGCCGCGTCTACGACACCGGTACCATCAAATCCATGAAAGCGCAAGGCAGGGCTGGACCCGGCCCGCCCCCGGGGACACGCCCTCCCCGTCGCAAGCAGCCACCGCTGGATGCGGCCCCGCCTGCGTCTGGAGGCCCCGGGTACGCCGCGGTCACCGCCACCCCCACCCCCACCCCAAGCAACCAGCCAGGTAAAGGAAAACAGCCAGACGGGCCAAAGAAACGGGGAACTCAAACTCCCTGGGTGATGCAGAATCGGGGTGATCGGGAAAGGGGTGCACCGACAACCTTGAATCCAGGGCTTTGCTTATGTATTTACTTATTTTTTTAAGGGGGACTGAGGGGCGACGACAAAGCTCTCCAGGGAGCTGAGGTCCCGGGGAGCGAGACGCGACGCGCGGTCGGCGGCTGCCGCGCGGAGCGCACCTTGTTGGCAGCCGCGCCAGGCTCTGCCTGCCCGGCCCAGGGAGCCAACGCCCGGCGGGGATCGCCGTGGCAGGCCGCGGACCGGTGCCAACTCCCGACTGCCGCGGGCACGGCCCGTCCAGGTGTCCCCTAGAGGGGTCCCACTCTCGCCACGCCCGCCCGCCGCCCGCCCCCGGCCGGCCGGGGCGCGTCCCGGGCCGCGGCGGGCCCGCGGGGCGCTCGCACCTGAGCCCGGGAGCGGGCGGGCCCCCCGCGCTCCCGCACCCCCAAACCCCGCACACACCCCCGGCCGCTCGCGCGCGCGCTCCCCATTGGCCGACGGGGCGGGGCGGGGCCGGGCCGGGCCCAAACAAACAACCTGCGCCCGGCGCCCGGCCCGTCGCGCCGCCGCCGCTGCGTGGCCTGGGTCGGGTGCGCGCGGGCCGGGGCGCCGCGGGCACCTGGCCACCTCATCTCCCCCACCCCCACCCCACCCCACCCACCACCGCGCCCACCCCCACCCGTCGAGCGGCCGGGCCCAGGCTCCGCCCCCGCCGAGCCGCCGCGGGGTTATATTGGGCCGGGTCGAAGTGGAGGCGAGACTGCGCCGCGGCGGGCAGCGCGGAGATGCTGCTGGCCCGCTGGCCGGCGGCGGGGAGGCAGCTGCTGGCGCCACGGCCTCGGGGACTCGGCTGCGCGGGCGCTCGCGGCTGAAGCGTCGGACCCCTCCCCCGCCAGGGGACACCGCGCACCCCCAGGACGCCTGCCAGGCGGGACGGGGGACCCCCTCCCGTCCTCCTCCTCCTCCTCCTCCTCCTGCTGCTGCTCCTCCTGCTTGCTCCTCCTCGCCGGCACGGAGAGCAGATGCGCGCGCTCCTTCCCGCCGCCGGGACAGCGCAGGGCAGCCGAGGGGGGACCGTCGCGCCTCCGCCGCGCGCCTTCGCCCCGGAGCCTCTGAGCCTCGAACCCCGGCCGGCGCCCCGCCCGCGCCTCCCGCTGCGGCGGCGCGCGCAGTTCCCCCACTAAGCACGACCCCTCCGAGGAACCGCCGCGGCGCCGGAGCAGGACCCCGCCGCGGCCCACGGACCGTCTCCCGCCAGAGGACCCCGAGCCGAGCCGGGCCCCGGGGGCGCCCGGCCAGGACCCCGGCGCGGGGAGCGCCCCCCGCCGGCCCGCGCGCCAGACGTCGGTGCGGCGCCCGCCCGGGACGGGCATGAAGCTGGAGGTGTTCGCGCCGCGCGCGGCCGCGCCGCCCGGGGACCAGCCGGGGGCCGGGCCGGAGGGGGTCCCCGGCGGCGGCGCGGGGGACGCGTCCTCGCCGCTGTCGGCCGCCGGCGACGACTCGCTGGGCTCGGACGGCGACTGCGCCGCCAACAGCCCCGCGCCGGGCGCCGGGGAGCCGGCGGGAGGCGGCGATCGGGACGCGGGCGGCGAGCCGGACGACGACGAGGAGGTGGAGGAAGAGGAGGAGGAGGAGGAGGAGGAAGAGGAGGAGGAGGAGGAGAGCGCGGCGGGCTCGGCGTTGGCGTTGGCGGCGGCCGGGCCGGGCGCGGCGGCGGGCACCGCGGGCAGCGGGGGCGCGGCGGGGCCCGGCGCGGCGGGGGGCGCGGGGCCCGGCGAGGGGGGCGCGCGCGGCAAGCCGTACACGCGGCGGCCCAAGCCCCCCTACTCGTACATCGCGCTCATCGCCATGGCCATCCGCGACTCGGCCGGCGGCCGCCTGACGCTGGCCGAGATCAACGAGTACCTCATGGGCAAGTTCCCCTTCTTCCGCGGCAGCTACACGGGCTGGCGCAACTCGGTGCGCCACAACCTCTCGCTCAACGACTGCTTCGTCAAGGTGCTGCGCGACCCGTCGCGGCCCTGGGGCAAGGACAACTACTGGATGCTCAACCCCAACAGCGAGTACACCTTCGCCGACGGCGTGTTCCGGCGCCGCCGCAAGCGGCTGAGCCAGCGCGCGCCCCCCGCGCCGGGTCCCGCGCCGGGCCCCGACGACGCGCCGGGCCCCGCGCCCTCCGGTGCCGGTGCCGGTGCCGGTGCCGGTGCCGCCGCCCCGGCCTCGCCCCGCGCGCGCTCGCCCGGCCGCCCCGAGGGTCGCGGCAGCCCGGCGGGCAAGTTCTCCAGCTCCTTTGCCATCGACAGCATCCTCAGCAAGCCGTTCCGCAGCCGCCGCGCGCCCGCCTGGACCGCGCCCCCGCTGCCCGCCTACCCCGCGCTGCTGCCCGGCGCGCCCCCCGGCGCGCCCCTGCTGCCGCTGTGCGCCTACGGCGCGGCCGAGCCGGCGCTGCTGGGGAGCGCGCGGGGCCCCGACGCGCCCCCGCCGCCGCCGCCGCCGCCGCTGCTCTTCTCGCCCGTCGTCGCGGCCGCCGGCCCGGCCAAGCCTTTCCGCGGCCCGGCGGGCGGCGGCGCCGCGCCCCTGTACTGCCCCCTCCGGCTGCCCGCGGCCCTGCAGGCGGCGGTGACCGGTGGCCCCGGCCCGCACCTGTCCTACCCCGTGGAGACGCTCCTGGCCTGAGCGCGCCCCGCGCCGCCGCCGCCGTCGGGGAAGCGGCCGGGCCGCGGGTGGGGCTTTGCACTTTGTCCCCAGTTCAAGAGACTTGAAGCTCGCGCGGGGAAAACCGCCACTCAACGTGCCTTTCGGTGAAAACGTGTTTTGTTCTGTTTTTTGCTCTCGCTCTCTCTTTCGGAAACTCTGTCCCGGATTTCCTCCTTGGTCTTGGACGACCTGACAGGGCACCAAAGCGATGCTCTTCCCCGCTCCTTCCCGGCCCACTGGGCCTCTCTCCTCCTGTTCAGGCCCCTCCGATTCTCATGCCGTTTTGTGGTTTTTTGTTTTTTTTTAATTGGACCGTCCATAAATGCCATTTACACCCCCCCCAACCCGAAAAATCAGGGAACCGTTCCAGATGATAAGTGATATGACTACTGTTTGGGCCTCACCGCCCCCCACCCCCGACGTGTACGTATGTGGCATTCACCGGTATGACTGCGTGTGAGAGAGGGGTCAGGAGAAGTCCTCGCCCTTTCTCTGCTATTGACCAATGCTTCACTGTGCCAAAAATATAAAATAGATGATATATATATGCAGTTGGGTTTTGTAATTAAATTATTTATATATTTTTGGAACCTGGATTGGAAATGTTGCGGGCAACGGGAGACAGCTTTATATTCGTGGTTCGTGGATCGCTCCTCTGCGGTCTCTGAACGAGTTCTTTAAAGTTCACATGACTCTGTGTGTGTGTGTGTGTGTGTGTGTGTGTGTGTGTATGTGGGGTGCCGGGACCGTCGCCACGGGAAAGCGAGTGTGATTTTTTTTATTTTTTAATATTATTTTATTTGTGTCTGTGTACATATTCCTGTATAAATTTTATGAACCCCAGGCATAGTGCTTATTTTTTAATAAAACTTATCATTGACTTTAGCCCTTGGTGGTGATGGTGATGGGCTGGAGATAGAGAGGTGGGGGGTGTGGGGGGATCCGGTTCCATGTTGAAGTTATGATTTTCGAGAAACTTCTTTGGGAGGTCAAAATAGCTTCCTGAATATTCCATCTTTCTATCGGTTTCCTCCCCTGGCTAACTGCCGTTCAAGGCACTTGATTAAGTTTCAGATATCTGTCAGAGCACACTCACTTAAGAGATAACAGAATAAGTAACAGTGAGGGCCTTCTGGGACCCCAAATCCGAGACGGCATAAATCAGGTTACTCACCAGCCTACCGGTGATACGGACTTGATTCTGATTGGTGGCTCCCAAAAGCTGGTCCTTTTGAACATCACAACATGGGAACACAGCTAGGACTCCTCTGGGCTGATTTAAGAACTATGGGAGGACCCCAAGAGATAGTACAGGGGTTAAGGCACTGACCTTGCACGAGGCCCACCCTGGCTGGAATATGGTTCCCTGGGCACCACTTGGAGAGACCCCTGAGCACAGAGCAAGGAGTAAGCCCTGAGCCGGTGTGTCTTCAAAACAAACCAACAACAACACAACACAACAAAACAAAAAGCTTGAAAGTTGGGAGTTTGGGTCAAACACCAAACTTTTAAAGATTAGAGAAAACTCCTTTGGGAGTCAAGCAATCCCTCCTTAGTGGTTCTCAACCCATCCCTTTGCAGGAGAATGTTATCTGCAGAGCTGGGGCTCCCGGGTTGTTCCTGGGCTGAGGCCATCACCTCCCACGGGTGGGGAACAATGTTCCCTGTGGGGAATGGAAGGCTTTGATGGGAGGAAGCTGCACCTGCCTCTGCAAAGCTGGAGACCTGGGGGTGCTTCAACAATTCACGGCCTGCGCGCAGAAAACATCAAACGGGCAGGAACCGTGGGCGGTGTCCGGCGGCTTGTTCCCGCACTTCCTGGGTACGTGGTACCTCGTCTGTCCGAGAGGAGGTGGTTCAGGTTCTGGAAGTTGAAGGTAGGGGGTGGGGGTGGAGGCGGAATTGGGACCCGCAGCCCCTGGGGGCAGGCAGGAGGGGGAAGTCACTGGCCCGGCCTGGCTAGCAGGTGATAGGGCTCCGCGGGAGATGAGTGCTACCTGCTGACGTCCACCGTGGAGGTGCAAAGGTTGAATTTGGACAAAAGCTAGACATGGAAAGGGGTCTTGGCAGCTTCCTGGCCGATAATCAGACCGAGATAAAACTGGAGCAATTCGGGGAGGGAGCCGGTCCCAAGCCGAGGCGGTCTCGCTTTTTTCTAGAAAACTCCCGCAGAGGTGAAGGAAGTTTGGGCTCCCCCCCAACAAGGCCCGTGCGACCTGAGCTTCGTCTCCACCACGAAGTATCCCCGTGGAAGGACCCAGAAACCGCTTTGTAAAATTCGTTTCCGTGTTTTCAAAGCTCAGCTCTTCTCCCCAGTCCCCCAAATCCCTTCTAAAGAGCCACGGATGACGCTTGTCTGGGACCAACACCCCGCCCACCCCACCCCCCAACCTGGCTGCTGGCACCTCCCCGCTGCACTGGAATTTGCGAGACTTTGCTGCGGGAGACTCGGTCACACCACCCCTGTGGTCCTAGACAGCGCCCCAAAGCACCCACCCCCATTTCCCACTCTGCCCCCCCACAATCCCTTAGCCCCTGCAAGACCCAGGGCGGCTGGGGGCGGGGGGAAGCTGGGGTTAAAAGAACTCGGGGCTCCAGTCCTGAGACTGCCCACAAGAACCTGGGGACGAACCTGGGGACGCTGGCTCTCCCCTGGGCCTCCACGCACCCCTTCGGAACCTGCAGGACTGTGCGGGCCTGAGCCCCCCACCGCCAGACCTCAGCACCGCCCCTAACTCCCACCCCTACCCTCGGGCCACAGCCCCAGGCCCACCTGCGCAAACACCAAACACCCCCTCCCCCCCACTCCCCAGAGGGAGCGCAGGCCTGGGCGAGGGGCCGTGTTTGGGTAGGGAGACGCCCTTGATACCTGCTAGGTGGGCTCCAGGAGGGGGTTTTAGAAACCCACCCTTTGCCCCTCTGCCCGCCACCCCGCCCTTTGAGTGCCTGACCCACAAACCCCCCAAAAGAGAATCCGCCAGAAGGAGGTGAAAGGGCACAGGGCACCTACCAGCACCAGCCTGAGTTTTTCTTACATGGGTCCTCCACCCCTACACACCAACCCCCTGAAAGCTCCCCGCCTCCATGTCTGCCCTCAGCTGAGGGGCCAGGCCGCTCTCTGGAACTCATATTTCTCTGCAAAGAATCTGGGGCTTCCCCGAAGCTGGTGAAACTCATAGATGAGGGGGCTAGAAGACCCTGCCCAGCCTCCAGCAGGCAGCCAGGGCAGGGACTAACTCAGGAGGGCCCAGGTAAGGTTTAGCCAAGTCCCTGAGCTTAGGGGTACACAACCTTACCAAGGCTCTTTCTAGAGTGGGGAGATAGGCTGTGGTTGCCGCGGGGAGGGAAGAGAGAAAGGGAAGGAGGGAGGGAGAGAGGGAGGGCTGGAAGGGGGAGAGGGGAGAAAGACTTATCTCCAGCAAATAAAATTGAGTCCCTCCGAGGGGTGTAGAGGGGTGCATTCCCCTCCCAGTGCCCCTGTAGAGCTGGAATCACAGTGGGCTTCCCTGAGCCCACTCTTGCACATTTCCGGAGCTTGACCTTTTCTTGCAAAAACAAAAAAAAAAAAAAAAACTAACACCCCAGAGGAGTTTCCCTACATAGACCCTAGTGCCAGACCAGGTGGAAAGTCACTCCAGCTCCACTTTCCTGGTCACAAAAAGGACAAGGTTGCTCACACCAGAACCCACTTCAGCTTTGCCGAGTTGCACGCTCAGGTCCTTGTCTGGAGTGGATTGGTTCCATGGTCAGCACAGTAGAAATGACACCTGCACCTGTGTGTTCATTGCAGCACTGTTCACAATAGCCAGAATCTGGAAACAACCCGAGTGCCCGAGAACAGACGACTGCTTAAAGAAACTTGGGTATATCTACACAGTGGAATACTCTGCAGCTATTAGGAAAGATGAAGTCATGAAATTTGCTTATTAGTGGATGGACATGGCGAGTATCATGCTAAGTGAAATGAGTCAGAAAGAGAGGGGCAGACATAGGATGACTGCACTCATTTGTGGAATATAAAATATCACAGGGCTGGAGCGATAGCACAGCGGGTAGGGCGTTTGCCTTACAAGCAGCCAACATGGCTGACCCAAGTTCGATTCCTCCACCCCTCCCCGAGAGCCCGGCAAGCTACCGAGAGTATCTCGCCTGGCAAGCTCCCCGTGGTTTATTCGATATGCCAAACACAGTAACAACTGTCACGATGGAGACATCACTGAGCCCACTCGAGCAAATCGATGAACAACAGGAGAACAGTGACAGTATGAAAGTAACACCCAAGGACAGTAGAGTCTAGGGCCAGGAAGATTGTACCACGGTTGGCAGCCTGCCTCACAAACTGGGGGAGAAGACAACTGGGATAGAGAAGGGATCACTAAGTCAACGATGGTTGGAGGGATCACTCGGGATGGGAGATGTGTGCTGAAAGCAGATAAAGGACCAAAAGTGATGGCCTCCTAGTATCTGTATTGCAAACCATAATGCCCAAAAGTAGAGAGAGAGTAAGAGGGAAATTATCTGCCATAGGGGCAGGGGGAGGGGTGGGAAGAGGCGGATACTGGGGACATTGGTGGTGGAGAATGTACACTGGTGGGGGTATGTGTGTTCAATCATAGTATGACTGAAACTAAAACATGAAAGTTTTGTAACTGTAGCTCACTGTGATTCAATAAAAGAAATAAAACAAATAAATAATGTTAAAATGGACCTTGCATGTTTCTCAGTGTGGAAAAAGTCATTTCCTCTTGACTGAGTTGAAATTTACTTTTTATTTTTTTTGCACACTCAGTGATTCTCAAGGGTTACTCCTGGCTCTGCACTCAGGAATTACTCCTGTTGGTGCTCAGGGGACCATATGGGATGCCAGGGATCAAATTTGGGTAAGCCATATGCAAGGCAAACACCCTCCCCACTATACTATCGCTCTGGCATCTGGAATTTTCTTTTTCCTTATAATTCAAGAGGCAAGATCGGCAAAA